TCCTCCTCCTCCTCTGATGCCAGGGCTGTTGAGGCTCTTCCCTTCGTGGGCATCGGGGTCATACCTGCGTTTGGCATGGAGCGATGAAGAAGAAGAAGAAAGAGAAGGAAGAGAAGGAAGGAGGGGAGCGTGAGGGCCAGCAGCCCCGACGGCTGGGCACTGGGCACAGCAGCAGCAGTCCTGGTGGAGGTAGCCATTGTCCACTGTGGTCACCACATGCGTGTCCAGGTCCAGGACGGTGGTCCGGCTGGGACAAGGAGGAGGAGGAGGAGGAGGAGGAGGAAGAAGGTGCCCCGACGGCAAAGAGTGGGGGGCATGGAGGGAGAAGTCGTACGGGCGAGGATGCGGGTAGAAAGCAGCGGCCAAGGCTTCTTCTTCCTCCTCCTCGTCCTCTTCGTCCTCCTCGTCGTCCTCCTCTTGCCCTCGATGGGGGACCCCCGACGGGGCGGGCAAAGGGCTCCCCTCTTCTTCCATGGCTTCGCTTCTGGGCATCAAGGAGCAGCTCCGGAGATGATGATGGGGATGATGGGGATGATGGAGCGGGAGGTGGTCGGCGTCGTCGGGGATGGGGAGATGGGGCTGGAAAGCGGAGGAGGAGGAGGAGGAGGAGGAAGGGGGTCCCGGGGGGCAAGGGAAGGCGGCTGCTGCTTCGGGGAAGGAGGGCGAGGAGGATGAAGGCTGGGGATGATGGGTCTGCGGATGATGGGGCTGCCGTCGGCAGAGCTCGGCGTAGCGCTGGCTCAGGTAGAGCTGGCGGGCGTTGCGGAGGACGTAGGAGACCAGGAGGTTCTTGTGGAGCTTGATGCCGCCGCGCTGGCTCCGCGAGGAGTGGATCTTCCGCAGGGAGAGGCTGATGAGGGACTGGGCGTCCAGGGCGAGCTCCATCCTCCGCGCCGCCTCCGCCTCCGCCTCACCGCCCGCCCATAGCAGCCCCAGCGCTCCCTCCGCTCTCCTCGCCGGCGCCACGCTCCGCTCTGCGCGGCCTCCGCCCGCCCCGCGCTTTTATAGCCTCCGGCCCCGCCCCCGCCCCGCCCCCTGCCCGCCCCGGACCCCCGCCTCCGCCAATGGCCCCGGGCGCCCCAGTTGGATTGGCAGCCGGCGCCCGCCAATCGGAGCGAGGCGGTTCCTTTGTGCTATTCAAATCCCGACACGGGGCTCCGCGGCGGCGGCGGCGGCGGCGGCGGC